CATGGTGGAAGCTCTTGCCAGCTTGCGGTCACACTACGTCATCATCTCGGCATCGAGCTTCTACGGTACACCTGGTTTGACTAACGGCCCCTCTCTGCCCCGCCAGCCTGCCTGTCCAGCCTCACAGTGCTGCAAACACACTGTCTCACTGCCCCGCCCCGCGACATCTTTCCTCATGATTTCTTTCCTTTTCGACCTGGCCCGCTGGGCAAGCTTGAAATTAATTGAACTGGTCCAAGCACCCCCCACCCCCCAGCCGCTACGTCATTTCCAATTACCTGCCTACCTACGTGCCAGTACTGGAAAGACAACGAAACAGACCGGCCGGCCGGCTCCATTTCCGTTCTGAGCACCCGCTTCATGTGACATCCCACATTTGAGCTGCCCCTGCCAGCCCGCAGATCATCGCCTGTCATCGGCCTTTCCCCTGAATGGCAGCCGGCTCAAGCTCCTTAGCTGATGTGCAGTGTGCCAGTCGGGCGACGACCCGATATCAACCTTGCGCCTAGGTCACACCCGTGTTTGAAAGCCGCTCTTGTGCGCTGCCGTGACATTAATAATAAGGAGGGTAAATCTATGAGTTTTCCAGTCTCCCTGTCCGGTAAGGGGTATAAGCCATAGTGAAAAGGGACAAAAAGCCATCCAGCCATATATCTCATGCTCATGCAATCCAAACGCCCTTGATCAGTCATCAAACCCATCCTCCACCGTATTATGAATGCTACACGTATGGGGTTCACCCTCTTCTGCAGCCCTCCGAGTCCACATGTTGGTTGGACCTGCTGCCTCTAACGGAAAAAACTGCGAATACCTTGTATCATTACGTCTCTGTTGAGCACGCCGACCTTGCCCCACCGGCTAGGCCCCGCCCCGTGCGCAAGTTTGGCCTTCTTCGCAGCCCGTTTGGCTGCCATAGGACAGGGCTCCTCTTTCACCGAACCGGTGGGTGTCGCTGAGCAGGGTCGGGAGGTTGGTGGCACCGGCCTACCCCTTCTTGTGCCCTTCCTGACAGTGCGGCTGCCTGTTGGGGACTCCTGTAGCGTCTTGATGTCCCTTCGGCCGACGTCTCTCATCTCAACATCTTCGTCTTGGTGTTGAGCTTCTGCACTCCCTTGACCGAGAACTTCGATTGGCGTCGGAGCCAACGCAACCCCCGTGGCCGTGCTGCCTGAATCCTTCTTCTCGGACTCGTCCCGAATCCGATGCAAAATGGCGCCACAGGTCGGTCCGGTCTGGAGGTCGCCGTCTTGCTCGGTCCATGATCTGCTCACTCTCGATAACTTGGATACTGGTCTCCGCATTTCGAGAACATCGGCAGCCTCGTCTTCGCCGATGAGTTTCGTCATGCTCACAACACTGTTCGACCGCTTCGTAAAAGAACTAGTAATGCTTGTGACACTCAGCTTCCGCATCATAGTGCTCGCGGAGCTTCTGACAAGATTCTCACTCCTCGACCTCCCTGTCATGCTAGGGAAAGGGAGAACGTCACGACTCCAGATATCCGACAGCAGGGCTTCGAGTCGCGCGCGCTCGGCACGATGCGGTGCCAGCACCGGCACTCTGTATGCAGAGGTTGATAAGAGCGACTGCGATCTGTTGATCGTTGGGTTCAGAGGCAATGCAGGTGCCTCGCGAACGTCACTGGTGTTCTTCAAAATGACTTGGCACAGAGGTGTTTTCGAGCCAATGGTCATCGCCCGATGCATGGAAATGCGTCGTGCCACCGTACCTAATTCGTACTCAGTCACTTGAAAAAACATCGCGCGGGAGAAAGACTCGGACTGACCTGGTTTTCCAAAGACTGTGCCCAGGCTTCGAATGTCGAGCGACATTGAGCTGTACAACAGGTTGGGATCGGATTGCTCTTGACATTCCTTCGCTGACTGCTCCAGACGGCCACGCCATTCGTCTTGTTCTCGGGGATTACATGCCGTCATGACCATTTCGTACAATTGAGAATCACACTCAAAGACGATCTTCCACGAGAAAGGTGCAGTGTGGCACTGTAGTCCTATCGAAATTGTGAGTTCTGTGGACTTTTAGAGGAGCTGGGCCAACCAAGTGGTGACGTACCTCGACCATTATCAGGCTCTTCAACTTTGATGCCATTGAGGCTGATGCATGCCTCAATTGTGTAAATCTGATCAGCCTTGCCTGCCGACGCCAGACACAGCACGTCATTATAGAGAAGGCAGACCATGTATCGGCCACAAACACCCTCATGAGCCTGCCAGCAGACGTGAAGGGCACCGCAAAGTTCGACGTGGCCGAATGAACGTATCCTGGTCTTCGTCGCCGCGTCGATGCGCTATGCTAAGGTTAGCCCACCCTACTTCTTTTCGAGAATCGTCCCAAACTTACTTGATCAACGAAGACAAGACGATCCTGTAAGATCCATGTCTTTTGCAGGGTGGTCCTCATAAAGGCGTCATTCGTGGCACGGTTGATTTCGGCTGTTGCCTCTCGAAGCCGTAACAGAGCACTTTCGACCTCCATATGAGAATTTGGGTCATCGACTACAGGGGTGTACTTGAGGAGCTCGGCAAAAAGCAAAGGATATTTACACATCCTTTGGATCGGCTACACATAGATCAGGACATAGCCCCCCCAACAATATAACGCAGTCTACTCACCTTGACAAGAAGATCTCCAATAGTTAGCGATTTCCTCGACTGGTCGAACCGGGAGTTCACGGGACCCAAAGAGGATGCCAAAGCCTCCAATCCCTTTTGATAATCCTCCCAGTGTGGCATTTTGCGCTGTGTCGAAGCCACGTCTTTGATCATCATCTCATACTTAGCTCCATATTCTTCATAGATGAAGAACTGGTTCATCTGTTGACGTCAGATGTTTCTCCATGAAAGAGGCTGACAATCAGGACTCCATACCTTCCTGCTGAAAACTCTCGCAACATCACCTGCTATTTGAGCTTCTGATCCAATGCCTGGTGCATCTCTGGCCCATGGCGCGGGGTGGCGGTGCTCCGGAACGGCGTCGAGGCTGCGCCATCTTCGGTGGCCGTGACCTGTGGACGCAGCCAGAGGCCGAGGAAAGTCAGGCAGCGCATACTCCGAGTCTGGAACAACGCGATGAAGATCACTGAGGATTTCCTCGTGCAACTGGATAATATCTGTGAGGTTACGATTAATCGAAGAACGCATTCCCAGCGGCAGCGTTGGAAGAGAAGCGAGAAGCGTGACGTAAACCTAAATGCCGTCAGCATCAAAGAACGAACAAGCCAACACACTCTCGCGTGCTCACATTCATGAGGAAACGAACATCGCCGATGT